ACCTACTAGCACTAAGTTGCTAACTGGTTAGCAAGATGCTTCCGAGAAACCGGCCACAATCAAACTTGCTTGCGAACCTTCCGCCACAACAATCCCGCCCTGTTGATAAATGTGTGAAAAAAAGTTTTCACACACTTCTAGTTACCTTGAAAAAGTATGTGGTTTTGTTATGGGAAAAAGGGTCTATGACCATCTTCCACTCAGACATTTTGTTTCCTTGCAAGTGAGACAAACTAGCTGAGAAAAAAACATTTTTAGAGAGTACATAGCATACATCAATATACTGAGAAGGAAAGAACAATAATAAAAATTTCTGACAACAATAAACGACCAATCACATTCACTTTATTCACTCGTGTAAAGTCATGCACCACTCCGGAGAATTCGGAAATGCAACGGTTGTAAGAGCCGCTTCCGTACGACTTTAAATACAGCTGCTTCAAACTAATTGCGATAACAATACTACTTTAAACATTTCTTTCCTAAAATCAAGCTAGTTTCATCTCCCTGCTGAAGTTTGTTGTTCCTCAACGGACGAAAAGTTTTGACCCTTTGAGTCGAGCTGTTATTCCTATAAATAGAAACAGTTCTATTTGGATTCATTATCCGTGTTTAGGTGTGTTTGCACCAAGCAGGAAACTCTGTCTGTCTAGCTGTGGGAGTATTGCAAATTTGGTTGACAGGATGGTTGGATAGTCGGCTATGCAGGCATATCCTGCATGTGAGCAGAGAGGTAGAAGAGCAAACCCAGACATCAAGTCACAGTTGTGTCTTTTTTTCCTTCCTCTGCTTCTTTTTTAGCCTCACCAGCATCAGGCCTACCGTGTATTTATTTAGCCATCATCTGAACGCTGTCTGGACAAGTCATTAGAATTAGGTCATTGTTTTATGTTGGATTTGTCTGCAAACACAATCTTAAGATGATATCACACCCCCTGCAGCTTGTTGCTCCTGCAGCTCTCTGCAGGTTGTTGTTGTTTGGGACCTATTTTTAAGCAGTAACATCTCGTCCGTCAGCCTCCACCCTTTATTCATTAGTAATGAGCTTGCAGCAGCGAGGCAGGGAGGAGCAGCAGACATGCTGGCTGGCCGAGGCTTTTCCCTCTGGACCAGAGCCTTTTATCTTTCCCAATAATGACATATGCATCGACCAGCTCAAGGAAATGGGCTAAAAACTCACTCAGGTTTTAGGAAGCTTTGTTTATGCTTTCTGTCATGAATATGTTCTGTCCTGTGTTTCTTTTTGTTTGTTTTGATCTCAAATAGGGCTGCAACTAATGATTATTTAGCAAATCGATTAATCTGTCGAGTATTTTTTTGATTAATCTATTAATAATCGGATATACAAAGCTTAATTTACAGAAGACTCTTACGAAATTAAAGCAGGTGAGACTAAAACTTTTCCACTTGAGGAGTTCTGGAAAGAGCAGATTGACAGACGAAAAGGATTTTCATCTTAAATGCAAAATGTTTATAATTTTTTTTTTTACAATTTTGGTATAATTGCTGCTCTAAGTGGTTTACTCTGTCAGCTAAAGACATGTTTTAGAGTCTCTATGCCCTAGTTAACGATTAAACATTTACTAAATTCGTTAAGGATTATTTCAGTAATCGATTAATTGTTTCAACCCTAATCTTAGATATCTGAAGGATAGAAAACATTCCCCGAAAACAATCCTATTTTCCATTTATTACATTAAACATGGATTCATACGCTGAGGTAAATTAAGAAATATATATAAACTGTTAATATCCAGGCCTCTGCTAAACTAACCAACATGTCAAGGAGCTGATTTGGGGTTTTATTTTAGGTTTTAGAACAGGGATGCACGCAAAAACTTTAGGACCGCTGGTCTACATGCTCATACTAAATGCAAGGAAACATTGAAATTGAAAAAAATCACAATTTAGATTTTTCCAAAATGATTCCGACCTATTTTTATTATAAACCAGACAGAATATCAGGATGGATCATGCTAGAAAAGGCTTGTTCCAGTGAGATCACTCAAACTAGGAATGGCCACGGACACCTGGTACAACTGACCCATTTACTTTTAACCAGCTGGTTTCAGAAACTTTAAAAAGAAGCAGATAAAATCAAAGTACACATTATAAAGATTTAAGATGCCGGTCAACATATTCAGATTTTTATTTTTTGGTTGATATTGGAACAATTTCCCATATCTATATCGGATTCATCCCTGTTATATTCCAGCTTTTTAAAATCATTTTAATACTATTTTTTGTAGTTTTAGGTGAAGTTTAAACAGCGACATCATATGTGATCATTATTGCATTTACTTTAGGACTCACCGCCCTCTTCAACAAAGAAAACTGGATTGGCAAATTTTGTGAGATTATTTTATTTATCTTGATTTTGTGATTTGTCCTGGTTTCCAGACTTTCTCATAAACTGCAGATATTTAGTCTTATAACCCGTTTAAATCTATGATGTGCGTCTTTGTTGATCTGTGGTTTGTTTTTCGGTTGTAAAGTGTGAGCACACCCAGTCGTTAACTGCAAACCTTTCTGTTTTCTTCCTCCTCTCAGATGACATGGCGCCCTCAGTACCGCAGCTCCAAATTTCGCCATGTGTTTGGGAAAGCTGCCACTAAGGAGAACTGCTACGATGGCGTGCCGATCACACGCAGCGTCCAGGACAACCACTTCTGCGCCGTCAACCCTCGCTTCATCGCCATAATCACAGAGTGTGTTGGGGGCGGGGCCTTCCTGGTGCTGTCGGTCCACCATGTGAGTTTTTCGCTTGGCAGGCAGCTTTGCAGACAGACTGATGTCAGGTTGTTTAATGAGGTCGAAGCACTGATTTATCAGGAGAGACATGCAAAGGGTGACTGCCAGCTGCAGGACTCTGTGTGAATTTATGAATGATTCAAATGGCAGCTGAATAAAGGGAACCAAAGCTGAGTCAATATGGGTTTAATAATTAAAATGGATCCTCCATAAAAAAAAACAGGCATGGAAGCCTCAGAGGTAATTAAAATGTGGGAGTCTGCAGAAGTCCTTTAACGATCCTTTTTGATTAATTATTATTACAAATGTATTTGTTCAAGGAGAAGACATAAAACATTAGAATTAAAAGCAATAATTGTCCTGTAGCTAAAGGCCGATCCAAACATCCGGTTCCTGGTGAGGCTTTTAGACGTGGACCTTTCAAACTTATACTGAGAAATCAATTTAAAACTGACAGCAAATCAAGACTTCAAAGGAAAGAAACAATGCATGAATTGAGGAGCAGGTTTGCTGCTCTATTTGAACAGTTTTTTCACATTTTTTAATCACTGGTGGCAAACCTCGAAATCTGAGGGCCTTCGAAAAGCGAAGGATTGTTATCCAAAGATTTTATTTTTACATTTTAATCAACTATAGTTCACCTTTGTTAATGTGGGACAGGCTTTTTAAAAAGTCAAATGAGGAGCTGGCTTGAGAACCACTGCTTTAGTTCCTTCCCAGAAAATGTCCTTTATTCCTCTTTTGGTCGTATTTCGGACACAAATCCTCGTCCTGATTTATGCTGGTCACAGAAAATCTGCGACACATAAAGGATCACAGAAATGTTTCTGCTAATCAAAAAGCTGATTAACTCTTCTTTGTTCTCTAAGGGCGGCTGAGAGGAGGTGGATCTGTTCTTATGTTATAAATCTTAGTGTACAGAAACACCTTTTTTACCCTTTCTCGACAAAAATCCTGATTTTGTTCTAAAATATCTAATTCTCTTGTGTAGTCTTGGAAAAAAGAACTCAGCTTATCTGCAGATAAGGGGATTAATGAAGCTGAGAACCTCCTTTTCTTTCTCTCTCTCTCCGTCTCTCTGATTTTTATTTTCTTTTACCAGCCTCTTGGCATCGTCAAGGATTGCATATGAGCTCAGGAATGAAATATCTCATCTTTGACCCCCCCCCGCCTGCAGTAACCTCCCTTCTATCTCAAGGAGGGGAAACTTTAGCACTCCTCCTGCCACCGTCCTACATCCCACCGCTCTGTGCCTGAACAGCTTCATTTTTTTTCACCTCTACAGACTTCTACCTGCCCGGCTCTCCCGCCTGCAGGCATGAATTTGACGGAGCATTCTGTTTAGAGATAATTACTGGTGCTGCTCGGACAGAAAGGTTTCAGACCTTCTCAGTTGATTTGATCTAATATGAGAGGAGCCGTCCGAAAGAATTTGCACGATTTTTGTGGACATTTTGCACTTTCGCGTCAATGTCTTGCACGTTTAGACGCGGTGCAAAAAGGGGAATCGTGTCCAAGCCTGCACAGAACAACACATTCTGATCAGCCTGACACTTTGATTCTCTCTGTGCATCTGGTTGACTGACTTTTCAGCCACACTCATCAGTGTTTTTTTTATTTTATTTTCAATGCTCCCTAAAAGAATTTCTGACGGTTTATGTGAAAGGAAAGCAGCAGTTAGCCCGTCATGTGTCTGATAAATGCCCTTCAGGGATGTTAATCTGAGCAACACTGACTGGAGTTTACAATAATTAAAGTTTCAGGGGGAAAAAAGACAACATCTGGCAGATTGGAGGTTATTTATTTTTTTCTTTCACCTGCATTGAGTCCCACCCAAACCATGACTCTGTGTGAACATGTCTGTGTTTTTCTCTGGAGGTGCTAACACCAAAAGAATCCATGAATCACATCATGCATTATCTTTAGGTCACCGTCTGTGAAACAGAAGGCTTGTTTTGGTAGCATAATGGAAGATAAGAGTTCTATTATCTACATTTTTATTAAAGTGTCACCTTTGTGCTCCAGAACCTGCAGAGTAGGGCTGGGTATTTTCGCCAAAGTCCTGAATCGATTCGATTTTGATTCATTCAGTTCTAAATCGATTAATTTCGATTCGATCTGTTTTTGCAATAATGAAAGTGGTTCAACTGTGTTTCAAAACACTCATGTATTTAAGTTTTTCCTTTCATATTAAACACAAAGTGGGAACTTGTAAATCGGACAGTTTAAACTTGGGATGTAAACAAAACTGTCTCAAAAGTGCAAACTTGTTTGTGAAAAGTGAAAAAGCTTCACTTGAGCAAACAGATGTGATGCAGCAGACATGCATGAGCTGCATTATCTCCACTGCACAAACCATATTTGCAGCATTATCTGTAACAACTACAGGGTGTTTGCTGTTCAGCCTCCATTTGTTAATGTCTTCAGTCAACCTGTTGGCTATATTTGCAGCTGTCTGGCTTGAAGTCATCTTGAGAGCATCTTCCCTGCTTATTTGAATGTGAACGTCAAGCTCGTCACAATAAAAGTAATCGATCTCATTCCCTAGACATCGATTTTGCAAAAATGTAAAGGAATCGATTCAAAATCGATTAAATCAATTTTTTTTTTTTACTTAGCCCTACTGCAGAGGGGCTTCAGATTGGTTCCCATCAAACTGGATTAGGCTCCTACTGGCTGATATTATTCATTTCAATTTTAAAATCAGATTTAAATTAATAATTTGAATTTGTTCATTTTAACAACTGTATGAAAGATTTCCTCTTTAAAAGGAGAATAAATAGATTCACAGTTATTTCACTAGAGGTAGCAGTTTGAGATTAAAGTTAAGTTTTCAATTGAAAATCTGGGTTCTTAAAGAAAACCCAGATCCAGTTTATATTATCAGTTATTCAGATTTGATCAGTTGTTTGTTCGGTTTTGTTTTGTTTGTTTTTTTAATGAAAACAGACTGAATCAATGGGATAAAGTCTCTAGCTTTGCAGCAATCCCTCCTCTAAAACAGGAGGAAGTACACAAAGTCATGACATGTGTCGCTTCTGTTATTGATAAAAACAAGGTTTTTTTTAAAGTTTTGGATTTAATGGCCAGAATAAAAAAAAAATCTTTATTTTGCAGATAAACCATCAAAGAATCTCAGCGATAATTATTTTTCCAGAGCAGAAACTTCTTATTCAGAAATTTCTAGGAGGGGAAATTCCAAGCTGGTTTGAAACCTTTGCATGTTGCTCTTTCCTAGAGCAGCAATTTGCTAAGCAGATTAGTTTACATTACACATGCAAATCAGTCCTGTCATGCAGATATCATTGAAGCTTATTAGATTTTGCTACCTTTAGTCTGAAACACTCAGACTCCACTGATTGCTGCTTATCCAGGAGGTTATTGATTTCCTTTCCAAGCAAAGTAAATAATGATCATTTCCAGACTGACTGCCTAGTTTTCTAATTATAGTTTTATTTATTTTTTGTCAGACGGGTAAATTGGATCCCCACCACCCTCGAGTGTCGGGCCACAGGGGCTCCGTCCTGGACATCAAATGGAATCCCTTCGATGATTACTGCATCGCCTCCTGCTCAGAGGACGCCACGGTGCGTGGACGCTTTAAGACTGACTGAATTGATGTGTAGTTGCATTCCTGAAATATGAGATGATTTTTATTCCCTGGCTTGTTAAGCCTTCCGCCTGGCAGGGCGGCTCGGAACAAAGCCCTGCAGGCAGAGGAAGAGGAGTCCATAAACTGTGCCTAGGGGGCAAAGTCTCTGCTCCTCTCTGATGAAGGTTCTGTAATCATTCTGAGCGCGTTTCTGTGCAGGTTAAAGTATGGGAAATCCCTCGTCATGGCGTGCTGACGAACCTCACTATGCCGTGGAAGGAGCTGCAGGGTCACAGCCGCAGAGTGGGCCTGATCGAGTGGCATCCGACGGCCAACAACATCCTCTTCAGCACCGCCTATGACTACCAGGTAACAGAAGGGATCTGACCCCACGGCATCCGTGAAGATAAGGATAACAAAAGGCTGATTGTTAAATATATGGCGGCACGTCTGTATTATAACGCTGCCAAACGGGTTTCAGGAATTAGATGTTTTCTGTGATTACTGCGCCGCTGACGTCCATGTGAGGCGACTCTACAAGCAAATGACACTCAGGGCTCTGCTCTGCAAAAGTCTGAGATTTTAATTGTTTTTTTTTAGGATGGGAAAATAAACAGACTTTAGAGGAATATTTCTGTGTATCTCTGTCCATCCAATATATCGTCTCTTTTCCAGCTTTCATCCGTAGGAGAATATCTAGATCAAACTCCAACCTTTGTATCCATGCCTAAAAAGTAGCTTAAACAGACTGATAACGCTGGAGATGTGAAGCACTGTCCTCTAACAGTTCAACTCTACGTGGATCCAAATACTTTTATCTGGTATTCTAAAATTAAATACTGTGTCTGGGTCCTTCTAATCCAGATTAAAAGGTAAAGCTCCAATGTGGTGAACCAGGGTCCAGGATGCTGACAGACCTACCAGCTGAGCCAGTTTTAAATGTTGAGGTTCATCAGGTCTATGAAGATGCTTCTCTTTGCTGGCCCTCTGTTCCCTCCAGAATAGATCTTAAAGGCTGATTGTTGACCTTAGAGTCATGGACCAGTCTGGCTCCTGGCTTTATGTTTGCAGTTGATCACAGCAGCTCTAGTCAGTCAGGACGGATGCGCCGCGGTGTGTCTCTGAAACCGGCAGCCTTTCTTTTTTTTGCTGCATTGATTCCAGATCAATCTAAGGCAATTCACAGAGTCATAATGAGCATTAAGTTAAAAACATAGCTAGAAAAAAGCAAGCTATTGACCGCTGAATACTGGACAGTTATGCACTTTACTGGTTTGTTGATCTGTTGAAAGCCTACAAGTACACTACTATAATTTTAAATTCAGTTTATTCATATAGTCTCAATTCACAATGCATGTCTTCTGAAAGCACTTTACTGTTCAACCAGATCATCCAGTCAAATTGATTAAGTTTTCTATCTAATGAAAACCAGTTGATTGCATCAACTCATTAACTCAAATGCAATCCCTCACACTAAGCATGCTTGTAGCGACAGTGGAGAGGAAAAACTCTCTTTTAACAGGAAGAAACCTCCAGCAGAACCAGGCTCAGTGTGAGCGGCCATCTGCTGAGGCTGACTGGGGTTCAAGGAGACAGAAATAGAGATACAAAAGGCAGCCAGCTCCACAGGCGGACTCCCCGTCTAGGGAAGACAAAGCCAGGCAGACAAGCATCGAGCCAGCTCCCATGTCAGAGGATGAAGAGAGCACATCCAGCCAGTCACAGTCAGAGAAACAGGACAACACTGAAAAATAGGCCAAGCTCAAACATCTATAAACAAAGGTGTTGATGGAAGCAGCACAGCTCCAGGATGGAGTCACAGCCAAACAGGAACAGACCAGATTAATGTCCTATGGCGTTATGATGTGATCCTGACATGATCAGAGTCCAGCCACACAGAGTCTCTCTGCTCTCAGTGAAATATGGCGTCTGGGAGAAGCCGCTGCCACATGCAGTGGAATCTCTTCCTTTAAACTCTGTAGGTCAAATTATTATGCTTTAGCAATACAGAGGTTTAAACCAGCAGGGGGTGATTCCAGCTCCTGAGGGCCGGTATCCTGGAACTTCTAACTGTCCTTGGTCCAACACTCCTGAATGAACTAACTAAATGATGAAGGGAAAGCTGGAGAAACGTGCCGCATACTGAGTCACTCAGTTCAGGAGTGTCGGACCAACAATGACTCTAAAAGGTGGAGAACGGGAACCAACTATCCTGATCTAAGCTGATCCAGAGGTGAACTTACCTCTGGAAACATTGACCTGAAGTAGACAATCAATGTCAGCACATAGGCCAACATCACAGGGTGTTGTTGGTTTTTCTTTTTCTTTAACTTGCTTTATAAATAAGCTGTAATTTTTTGTATTTAACCTTTTAATACCAATGAACATAATCTGGATTGTTCTCCAGCTGATTCTCTGCTGAACGTTTCTGCTTTTTTTTTTTTTTGTCCACCAGGTGATGATCTGGAACCTGGACTCTCCAGAGCAGGTGATAAAGAACCCCGTCCGAACCATCCAGCACCACACAGACGTCGTCCTGTCCATGTCTTTCAATACGGACGGGAGCCTTCTGGCCACCACCTGCAGGGACAGGAAGGTCCGGCTGATGGAGGCGCGCTCAGGGAACGTGCTGCAGGTGTGTTTGTCACAGCGTTTAAATCTGGAGTCAGAATGAGAGCGATTCCATAAACCTTGGTGCAACAAGACCGGAGAAACTGTTAGACTATGGTCAAAAAAGAAAGGAGTCCTTCTCTGACCTGAACCTGTAGAACCCTTGTTTAAAGCCACATCATCACTGCTAAAATCAACATGAATAAAAATTGTGTTTTGGAATAAAATAAATGTTCACTGGAAAAAAATCTAAATCTAGATAAATAATTATTTCTTAAAATAAGTGCATTTTTTCTTGAATTGAGATTTTCAGAGAGACATTTTGCCAATGGGAACAAGATAATTTACATTTAAAATAAGAAAACACAATTGCATTGTCTTATTTCAAGTGCATTTGATCTTAATATCTTCTTTAAGAGTAAAAATACTAATTCCATTGGCAGATTATCTTATTTACCTACTCAATTTAAGGGTAAATGCACTTACGTAAAAAGTTAAAATAAGGAAAAAGAGTTTTATTATTTATTTCTACATTGTTTTTCCAGTGTTGAGTTTATCATTCAGTGAAAGATTTAAAGAAATGACAAAACACAAGATCCAGATGTTTGAGCTTCCGTTCTTTATGCTTCCATATCAAGATCCACAACATGTTTCATCCAATCGCCCCATCTCCATCTGTGCAGAAGGTCCCTCTGCACATATTCAGAACCTTGCTGATTATTTCAGGTCCAATCCAGCATTTTTAGGAATAACTAAAGATTGAAGAAACTCCCCTCAGAGGTGATAACTGATCATGTTTGAGATGCTGTCAGTGTTTTAATGCTGTGGGTCATGTAACGGACGCATAACTCATCCAACCATCGTCACTAATCCTTCACCATAAACAGGAAGTTCATGTTAATCCATGCGGCATTATCTGATCAGATCAGATTTTGCATGCTGGCAGCGGGCCCTGCCCTGCTGACACCTACTGGCTGTCTGTGCTTCTGCGCTGAGCTCAGACATCAACATGTGGAGACTTGAAAGGTCGTAGTTCCAGACTGGGATGCAGGTGAAACCCCCTCTGAGGCAATATCTCCATTTTCTGCTGCTGCTTTGATAAACTGGTCAAAATTTCTTGATAAATCCCTTTACCTATGCATAGTCCTAATGGAAAAAAAAAACAAAACACATTTTTTAAAGACTTTAAAACCGATGATATATTAGGAAGGTCAGTCCAGTATCGATTTGCTGCAGCCTTCCCAGGAACAGCTTTTTTCTGATCCGTTTCCTGAGCTCCTCATCTGTTTTATTCCTTCTCACAGCAGACTGTGTTTCAGCACCATATGACCAAAACTGACACCTTTTGCACCATCAGATTCAAACTGAATAATAATAACCAATCGTTTGTGATGTCATCTGATTATCTGCATAAAGAGAACCAGAAGTTCACCTCTTTATAACCCGCCATAATCATTTTGTACCACATTTTCTACTGTATAAAACCAGTCTACATCGGATGGTTGTTGCTCTTTAAGCCTTCGGTGGGTTCAGAAGAGAAGTTGTTCTCTGATCTGTTCTCACATTAATGAACATAGGAGTTTTTCTTATTTAGACCATGGAAAGAGTTTCCTTCTATATGAATTATAAATGTCATGAATTTTTTGTTCTACGTGTGTAAAAAGTCTCCCAAAATTCTTTGATGGCACCGTGGCACTAGAATTAAATCTGGGTTTCAGTATTCCTGGGTTTCATTATTGTGTTTCATTAAGGCTGTTTTATACTCAGAAACCAGGGTGTGTGTCGCAGTGAATGCAAATGTGCCTCCGCCCTGCCGCAGCCACGCTGCTGCACCTCTCCAGAATTGTAGGTGACCTCAGACAGTGCTGCAGACAGGAGGCCTCTGATTGGTCAAATCTACATCCGCTCTACTCTATGCGTATTTCCTGTTTGGTACCTTACCGGCTTGTTTTGTTTGTATGACCGCCATTGTGGAAAACGACTCGTAAAGATGGACCAGCTAGAAGAGCGAGGTGCACCAGAACGCTGGGACCCTTTTTCCACCTGGATCCCCGCTCTTTTTCGTCCCCCATATCCCTCCGTTGTCTGAAAAACTTGCCCCCACTTCCTCACCGCCTCGGCCGTATCTAGACCCACAGCTAGTTCCTGATTGTCCCTCTTGCGTTGTGGTGTGAAATAACATAGCACAGTCCACACTTCAATATTGGGCATAAATCAAAAATATCTGCATCAAGCTCACTGCAACACACTGCTGAGGGAGGATAACCAGCCCTTAAAAGTGATGCATAGGCCTCAGCAGTGTAAAAACAATTAATCTAACAACTTTCCTGTTGTATTGGAGACACTGATGACAACAGAGCAGTGATTGCTCTTAGTTTACCGTCTCTAGCGAACAGTGAGCGAGCCCCTTCCTCCAAGGCAGCGGCCAAGAGCAGCTCCTCTCGTTCGCTTAAAACGATACAAACTAGAGATCAAACCCGCATCTATGATCGCCAAGGCCTACTGGAGCTACGGTCACAAAATGTTTTAAATACTGACATTTTTTGACCATTTTAAAAGCTGCAGAGTGCTACGGATGGATGTCAACAAACAGCGGGAAAAAAAGGACGGAGGAAGAGATGCGCAAGACGGAGAAAGTGAGGCTGCTTAGGGTCCGCTTCCATCAATCCTGCTCTCCAGCGTCCGCTCGTTGGAAAACAAAATGGATCATCCTCGACTTGATCTCTCTTCATAAAAGGAGACATGTAACTAATGCACCATCATTCTGATAGAGTCATGGCTGCATCAAACAATACCGGACAATGCTGTTGGCCTGGAGGGGCTGATGCTGTACCACGCCGATAGAAACAAAGAGCTCTTCCTTAATTGGAGGCTCCTCTGAGACTGTTCCCAGGAAATCTTCAGCATCTAGAGGGGAAGCACAGCCCTCTGCAGGTGAAAATGAGGAGAGCACTCTAGTTGCTTCCCTGAAGATGCTGAAACATCCCCAGCCTGCCCCTCCTGGCCCCCTCCGGCTTCCACAGCTTCTCCAGCATCGTCTGTCGCTGCTAAACCTGCCGATGGCACCACTGCTGCTTCAACCACGGCATCCGCTTCAACCCAGGGGGCTATCACCCTCACAGCATCGTCATCATCCTCTTCCTCCCCTGAGCCAGGAGAAGTGAGTGCTTCAGGAGCTGGAGGCAGTAGCAGCAGCTCAACAACAACTGCTGCTTACCTTAGCAAGCCTGCACTTCAAAAAATGAAATTGTCTAGAGAGCTGTTCTAAACAAAATTTCTTTTTGTTTACACTTGTGTAATAAAAAAATGAAAAAATAAATCTAAGTCTAAGGATGCAGCAGCTGCAGCCTGTCTGCAGACAGACTCTCCTCTCTTCTTTCATTGAAGATGGGTTACACACGGCAAAGCTTCCTCTGATTCCCCCTGAAGTAAAACTCTGTGTAAATATAATAAGTAGCTGTGTATTGTAATAGAATAGCATGTGGTTTCAGCTGCCCTAGTGAACACACCGTCATTGTCTCAGGGCAGAGAAAATTGATGTTTTCATTACTTTTGAGGCCTAATTTTATGTCTAGTTGTGTTTTTAATTATTTAAATTGGAATTGGTGATTAACAAAACATTTCTGTGACAAACTGAGAACACACATTTTATATTCAACACTCTTAAACATAATGGAGATCTTGGTTAAATTTAATCCCAGTCCTCGTGTCCCTGGGTTTGGCATCCCCTGAATCCAATCAGACAGAGCCCACATTTTTTTAGATTTGATATGCAAAAAAAATGACATGTTCTGACATCTTCTACAACAATTCTTTTTTAAATAGTTTATCATTTTTTAATTCTTATCGTTGATGTGTTTAGCAGATATTTTTTTATTTTGTTGTTTGTTGTTTTAGTTCTTGATCCAACGTCCATTGTGACGCAAATGCTTTTAATTTGTACAAAGTTTTGTTATTGAAAACGGAACAATCGTATTAAGATATCCTGTTTCCCATTCAATAAACTGCTCTAAATATTTAAAAAATTTTTGTTTGGCTTTGAATATTATTGATTAGTTTTTACCTTTTTTACAGTCAAACTGAGTTTAGAGTCATTTTCTAATTTTTCCCCCAGATCTTCACACATTAATTAAAATATGGTTATTAACAATAAGCAGTATAATTGATGTAATACATTTTGATCTAATAAATATTTGGTATAAAATCATCACCTTTTTCTAATTTTATTTTAAATCGTTTACAACTGTAATGATTTTTTTTCCTTTTTCAATATTAACAAACTGTATTTCAAGTTTTCCTTTATCTGCCTCTTTGGAGTTTTCAAGAAAAAATATTTTATTTGAATTCTATCATTTGCTTCAATGAACCACATTGTAGATAAGTAAACAGAAAAAGCAGTCTGTCCAAACGCCAAAGAAAACAGACTGTAAATGCCTCTAAATCTCTGTTTTGTTTTGTTTTTGGTTTGCAGGAAGCAAATTGTAAGTCGCATAAAGCCAGTAAGGTGCTGATTTTAGGGAACCTGAAGATGCTCATCACATCTGGCACTTCTCGCTACAACGATCGACAGATAGCTCTGTGGGATCAGGTGAGAGAGCAGAATCAGGATTCTCTTTCTTTTATTATTTACCAAATTAGCTTTTATTTATTTATTTATTTTTTTAATGTTCCTGTTTCAAACTTCTGTATTAAACCCAACCCTGCCATCTAGTGGCCAATTTAATTTACTATGCAAAAATGGATTGTGGATTTTAATTCAGTGGATCAAACTGTGTTTTTTAATTTATTTTTAATTTATTTTTTTAACAAAAGTTTGTTTCTCTGTGTGCGTTTGCAGGAAGACCTGTCGGTGCCTTTGTTGCAGGAGAACCTGGACGGTTCCTCAGGGGTGATCTTCCCGTTCTACGACCCTGACACACACATGCTCTACCTTGCTGGAAAGGCAAGACTGGCTCATTAGAGAAAAGACAGCCAAAAAAAAACAAAATCAAAAAGCTGAAAATGTTTTGATATTTTTAGGGGGATGGAAACATCAGGTACTATGAGATCAGCTCAGAAAAACCCTACCTCCACTACCTGACGGAGTACCGCTCACACTCACCTCAGAAAGGAATGGGTAAGAAAAGCAAAACGTGGTCAAACTTTCTGTTTTTTTTAGCTTTTTTTTTTTTACCCAGGCTGCATTGACTCTTTGCACCTGTAGGCAAAGCTGTTGTGCAAATGAAGCTGTTGTATTTGATTAACCAAATCAGGTGCTGAGGAGCCTGCTGGCCGTCACCTTTCTAGACCTCTACCCTTCAACTATTCACATCAAAGACTACCGGAGTGTTGCTGCACTGAAAATCCTACAGAGATGCTTTATTAGTAATACATTTGAAGAAATAACACGCTAACCGAACAACATGGTCTGCAGCAACGTCCCCTGTTGTGTTTTTCTTGTCCCCATCAGATCTGGACGCTCTGAGCTTCATTTTTATACATTCAGATCAGAATACTGAGTGCCTGAGATAATGTGTCATTTGGAGTGCTAACTTGAGCTTTATCCTTCCAAACGAACAGAGCTTATACAGAAGAGACTGTTGTTAATCCTGTTCTTAAGCTAATTTTACACACCCATGATTTAAAGAAGAGAACCGGATGAATGCTGCGCAAATAATAGGATGATGATTTTAAGCTTCAGATTGACAGTCAGAGCTCACGGCACAATGGGATGCAGGAACTGATTAATTTCTAAGTTCAGGTTAATTGATAAACTAACATTTCCAGCTTTTTTAAAGGTGTCATGGAATGCAAAACCAAGTTTCCATTGTCATAGATAAATAACGATGGTTCAATGGGTGAAATAGACGTACAGAGAAGTTTAAATCCCATCAACACCTCCTTTCTCTGCAAATCTCACAATTTTAAACTTCCACCATAAAACAGGCGAATCCAAACGAAGCCCCGACTTGACGTAAACTCGTGGATGTTGCTTTATTTTGTTCTGGCCTGTACTTTTGTCGTTCCATCCCCCGCTGGCTCCCTGTTTCGACTACGTGCTGCACTGAAGTCCACCAAAATCCCAGAAAATTTTTTAATTCCCCCCGGACATTTTTTTAGGTATAAAAAGCAGGACATGTCAGGGAAAAAGAGGACATCTGGTCACCCTACCATATCAACAATGTTTCAGTAATTGAGTGCTTGTTGCTGTGATGCGTCATTGCTCAGCAGCTTTGAGCGTAGCATAGAAGGAAGAAAACCTGTCATTTCAACTTAACCAGGCTTGCATTAGGGCTCATAGAACAGCAAATATGACATTTTCAGCCCAACCAATGTTACACATCCTATTCAGAGACCTTAAGGACCAGCACCAAATACCCTATAGAATCATTCTATGAGCCCTTTAAGATGTTTGGAAACCAAATAACCTAGGAGATGGGCTTTACAAGGTACTAAAGAAAGCTTGAATCTAAACACAGATGAAACCAGGACTGAAAATCTGTCTGTAGGTAAACTGTAGACCTAATGAATCAGAAGCTTCCTAAACAACCTTTAGCTGCTAAACTATCAGGAATCTTTTCTATTTCAGTTAGTGGTCGGTTCTGTAGCCTCAGAGGTTTAATAACTTTGTCTCCGCACAGCTGTCAGGGGGTTCAGACACAGGGTGTCGGTCAGGTTGAGGCCTGGACTTGAACTAGACCAAAGCCTTGGTTCCAGTCTTATTAGGACATTCTGTTGTGTGATTACCTTTGGTGTTTGGGAGCCGAGCTTTACCTCTCAGACAAACGACCTTCAATTAAGAAAACAAATGCAGATTTTCAGCTAAAAAAAAGGCTCATGTTGAGCATGGTGGTGGAAGGGTAATGATTTGGGCAGCAAATCAGATTGACCTGATTATGAAGTCGGGTCACAATCTGACTAACTTCTTGGTTTAGTTAGACATAATCCAAAATTCTTTAATCTCTGATTTTACAGAATAACATTATGAATGAGACTTCTGTCCCATGTGTGAAGCTCTTTATGTCTTTTTTTTTTTGCAGGAGTAATGCCAAAGAGAGGCCTGGATGTCACATCATGTGAGGTTTTCAGGTTCTACAAAGTGGTGATAGTCAAGAGCCTCATTGAGCCTATTTCTATGATCGTACCCCGCAGGGTGAGAGCGCCCAGATTAACACACACCTCCAACACGGCACAGCAAGCATCAGACAACTTCTTTCATCTAGGCGTCATTCGTTCTGACTTTCTCTTCCTTTTTAGTCGGAGTCGTACCAAGAAGACATCTATCCAATGACGGCAGGTAACAGACCAGCGCTGACTGCAGAAGAGTGGCTCAGCGGCATCAGTAAAGGTCAGCAATGCTCATTCTTCTTATGAATAATCCCCGAATTTGATCAAGCATGTTTTGTTCAGGTAGTTTCCTGTGCTCATATTCTTCCTGGTTTGGGTCTTTCAGGACCGGTTCTCATGTCTCTGAAGCCTGGAAGTGAACTAATGGAGCCTCCGTCAGAGCTGAAGGGGCTGACCAACTCCCTGGACACACGGCGCTCTCAGAGCAGACCCGGCATGCTGCGCCTCTCCTACATTCAGGACCAACTGGAAGCCAAAGAAGACGGCGAGCAGGCCAAGTCCGACAGGAGTTGGACGTCTGTGAGCAACGGGGACGACCAGGCGCATGGTTCCCCGCTGACAGAGAGCGAGGTGCGATTTGCTGATTATCAAACACAAGCCTGGATTTTAAATGATCCCATTTAAAATCCAGGCCTGCAAAAAAGTTGATGCTTATTTTCACCAATGACAGTTTTTAGACCTATAACAAGTAACAATTTCTTAGTTTTTTTAAATTGTTTTTATTTATACTTTTGAACAATTCTGATTTTTTACAAAAAGAAATTAAAGCTTCAAAAAAGCTTTTCTATTAATTTCTTGTTGTTTGAATTTAATGTCATAGTTTTAAGTAATTTAAAATTCCTGGCCCAGGATCTTTCTGCATGGAGTTTGAATGTTCTCCCTGTGCATGTGTGGGTTCTCTCCTGGTACTCCGGCTTCCTCCCACAGTCCAAAAACATGACTGTTAGGTTAATTGGCTTCTCGAAATTCTCCTTAGGTGTGAGTGTGTTTTTAGATGGTTGTTTGTCTCTGTGTTGCCCTGCGATGGACTGGTGACCTGTCCAGGTTGGACCCTGCCTCTCACCGTAGACAGCTGGAGATAGGCACCAAACGACCCTGCTTGCAATAAGCGTGACAGAAAATGGATGGATGGATAATTTAAAAATCAAAAGTGCATTTGTGTCCTAATCTGTTAAAAAATAAAAAATTGTCCTTTTGAAAATTGTCACATCCTGATAGAATTGTCACACCCCTTAGACTTGAGATATTTAAAGACATGTCAGCTGGACTTCATGTCTCAGACTGAGGTCATTCTCAGCAGACAGGATACTAGCTACTCGGAACCTCTCAACCTTTTTACTGTTACTGCACTGGAAAAAAATCCAAATCCAAGTAATTTTTTCTTAAAATAAGTCCATTTGTT